ATAAAAGTGTGTTGTTGTGATTTACGTCGAAATAAGTCAAAAACAACTTGAAACCCCATATAAAATCAAAAAGGAGAAACGGAAAAAAATTGAGCCTGTAAATGAACACAACTCAGAAACAAAAATAGCTATCTAATAATAAAAAAATAAAATTTGATTCTTGTGCATCTTCGTTGTAAAAATAGATAATACTTTTTTGATCTTAGGTACAGATATAATTTTAATGGTCTTCCGAAAAACTTTCTTCAGTTTCCATATCAGATTCAAAATCAGTCTCACTGTCACTGTTTAAGTTAATTATAAATCTATCAGTTGCCTCATCCAAAGTAACTTCTCTGTCATAAAATTTAGATTCCCACATTTTAGCATTATTACAACGAGATTGCCACTCCTCTTTAGAAAACGTATCAAAAAAGTCTTCACACAACAGTTGTACGTCTTGCCTCTTAAATGTAGTGTTGTTACTAGTTACATATTGTTTCAATGATGCCCACACTAATTCGATCGGATTAAGATCGGGATGATACGGTGGCAAACGCAAACAACTAAAACCATGTTCATTTATCATTTCTTCAATTGCATACCTCTTAAATCGTGACTTATGCAATAGCACTAAACTGTATAATTGCGTTTTGAGCATATCCTCTTCGTAAGCAATATTATGATTCCTTAACCAATCCTGCATGTCAGCTTTTTTAGAAGTTGACGTTGGTGCTTTATTTACCTGGACATTATGGTAAGGAGCATTATCAACAATAATGACGCTTCTTGGAGGGAGGTTCGGAAACAGCTTTTCTTTCAACCATTTAGAAAAATTATTAAAATTCATTTCATCGTGGTAGTCTCCACTTTTGGTTCCAGATTTGAAAATTAACCGGGCATTCGGAATAAAGCCCATTTCACCTCCTGCATGGACAATAATTAGTCTATCACCTTTATTAATTGGTTTCTTTAATCCCTCATTTGAATTATCACTCCAAGCTTTCTGGTGTGTGTGGGAGGCATGAATGTATGTTTCATCTAAGTAGACAATTGGACGGCCCTCTGCTCGATAACTTTTTAAACGAATCAGATAGTCTAAACGTAGCTTTTGAATATCAAACCTTTCCATTAATATTTTTCTGTTTGTTTTTGTTTTCCGCCAACGAAATCCTAGCGACTTTATTATTTTTCTTAAACTTTCATAGCTTCCTTTGTACCCTGTAGCTTCTCTAAATTTAGTCAGAATTGTTTTTAATGTTGGAACAATATTTTCCGAGATTAACATGAACAGAATAATTCTTTTTAAAATACCTTTGTCAGCTTCATCTATATCATTAACTGTTTTTGGTTTTTTAATGGTTTTTCTTGGTGATAAAATTCCGATATCTCACGGTTATCAATTCTTTTTTTCTCTCCAGAAATGCGGACGACAGTGTTTTTAGATACTCCTGTGGCTGCAGCAACACGATCATTTACATTTTTAAATGTTATTGAAGGTGAATTAAAGTTTCCTTCTCTTCTCATAAACTCTATAACATTGGCTATTATTTCGCGAGATTGACACGCGGCCTCTTAATTTGCTATTAAACTCCATACTTAGGTTCTATTAAACTGTAATGAGCAAAAAACACAAACGAAAATAAAAGAAATGTTTTAGCGAAATTTACATCTGACATTTACGTCTGAATAAAATAGTGAAATACTTTCATTGCGTAAATCCGTCGGCCCCGCCAACCGATGCCTCTCAGTAGTGCTTTCTCTGTCTAGCCGTCGAAAGCCTCTAGAAATTTGATGAACTGTACTTGTTTTTATATCAACGTCAGCCAATGGAGGTGGTATAATTTACAATTAACATTCCCGGGTGCATATTTACACACTCTCCTATACGACGACACCAAGGCAGGGCCGCTGAGAGCCAGGCCGGGCCCCAGGACAATTCTCTAGATCGGGCCCCGTGAAACAAAAAACTATTCTCCCTACTTCAATTACTTCTTCTTCTAAAAAAAAAAGGTCCTCACATCAAAAAGCTATTATCTTAACTTCCCACTCTCATCTTGTGTCGAATTTCTCATGCAGAACAGTAGAAAATGCTGTTGTCGGGTCCCCCTTACAGCGCTACCGGGCCCCCGTTTAAGCCCGGGCCCCGGGAATTAGTCCCGGCTACCCCCCCCCTCTAGTCGGCCCTGCACCAAGGTGCTGAAATTTGTTAGCCTTTGTGGCTACAATTACACTAAAAAAGCTCATTGATTTAGGCACCAATGCATGAGGCCTCTCTTATTGCTGGAATCAGTAAGCAAGCTTATCTGCATTCTATAAAAAATCGCTGTACTTAAACTGCCGTTAAACTGCCGTGTACTAAAATGCCGTTAATAGACATGATGTCATTCAAATGACGCATTTGAAGTGTTTTGGGATTAAAAAAAAAGAAAATATACAAGAAGAAAACGAAGCAACGACCAAAAAATGTTAACCCATATCTGGCTACGCCTACCGGCATAGACTCCAACGGCCTGGACATAGCTCAAATTGAAAAGAAAAGTCTCACATAACATAAAATTTGTATGGGTGTCTAAACCAATGAGCTTTTGTTGTGCAATTGTAGGCCACAAAGGCTAACAGATTTCAGCACCCAGGTGTCGTCATATAGGATGATGTGTAAATATGCTTCCCGGGTAACGCACACAGAGGCAAAAAGTATCAAAACTTACCAACAATTCTGGAAAGCATTAAAGCCTATACTTTTGTATTCTGGAATATGTTTAATGTGTAAATATAACAAAATAATATCAACAGATATTATTGACACTATACATGATACACCCTCATTATAACTGACACCTTTTAAATTAGGTAAAGGCTATTCCTTAAAAAGTTGTGAGAAATTCAAGTAGTAAAACAGCTTATTAGGTAATAGCAGATATATTAATAACTATATATTTTATAAAAAATTATCCCTCTTAGAAATTACATTATTTGTTGAAGACAAATTAAATTCAAGAGTGGCCACAAAAAAAACAAAACACAACAGAATATTTTGCTACAGGATACACTTCAAACATTATCAAAATAGTAAATTAACATTTTTTTTTTAATTAAAAGGCTTTCATGATATTATATCGGTGGTCCGAGAATGTATTAATTGAAAATAGAGGCAATAAACTTAGGTCTATAAATCAATCGAAGAAAAATTATTTAAAACTAATATTTATTCAAAATTACAATCGAAAGAGTTATCACTATCAGAAACATGACTAATTTGGTCGTAAACATCCGGTGGTAGAAGCATGGAAAAAGCTTCGCTAGAAAAATTAGTTTTCTTTAATTTTTGAGTTTTTTTAATACCAGTAATAACAGGATCTGAAGAGAGAAGTCTCTTGAAAACATCTTCATTAGTTTTCTCTCGAGCTATTTTTACAGCGAAGCTTTCTCGATATTTTTTAAAATCTTTGTTTTTACTTTTTGCAGCCTCTTCTGAGAGCTGGTCAACTGGAAGAAGAACGAAACGAATAATTTCTGCATCTGAATTAAAATTAAGTGAACTGTTGGCATCATATAATACCAAGGATATTTATTTATGAGTAATTGTGCTGTTTCCAGGCAATACATTTTAAATAAACCCGCATTAATGTTATGATAACTCGTAATTTCTTCCAAAATAACACTTAATTTTTTAAAGACATCTATTTGTGTTATTTTAGAGGTGACTTCCGGATTCTCAAAAAAACCTCTTGACGTATTACCGTCATTGCTACTTCCGTATACCGGTTTTGGTTGATCAATTATTAATCGTAATTCCTGTTTAAATTCCCGTTGAATTCTTTCTTTTTTTAAAAACTTTTTCTTCATCAGTAGCCTTTCTAATTTGCTAACACTTTTACTGGTAGTGTATATGAAAGGTGCAAAATACACCCAAAAAACTTTTAAATTTTAAGGGTCACATGCAAGCTTGACTTGTTGCACAATTTTATATGTCCTTTTCTCTAATTATAGTATATTGATTACTTCCACTTAAACTGAAAGTGCCTCCTGTTTTATTCGGCTTATATAGGGTGTCCCAATGAAAAGTAGCCCGTTTCCATTTGATAAAATTTGGTTACGGTGAATTTAAAAGAGGAGATTTTTAAAAAACACCCTGTATAGGTAATACATAATTTCTGTGTCACTATAGCAAAAACCGCACGTTTCTACGATTTGTTTAAAAGTTATAAGCTCTGGAAATGGGCTACTTTTCATTGGGACACCCTGTATCTTAAAACTCATAAATTTCCGAATATTAAAATATTATATTTCCTAATTTTTATATCAAATATAAATGGAAAATATCATATTTTGTATAATATTGTTCTGTGATATAATCTAAAGAATACTCGTATAACTCTTGATGACGATTCTTTCAATAAGCCACTATTTAGGGAGGCGATGTTGGATAAGTACTATATATATTAAATATTGAGTTAGATTCAAATCTCATATTCTAATTAACCATTCAAAAAAACATCTAATGTCCTGAGATAGCCGAATTGGTAAGGCAGTGTGCGTATAATACGAATAAGTGAGTTCAAATCCCTCCGCGGTACATAGTTTTTTTTTTTAAATTTGTCAATAAATGTGTTTTATGGGTTTTAAAATAATATACAAGAATTTGTAGGGGTAAATTTGACACAATATTATATAAATGTTGTATCCATTTAATCCATGACTTATGGGACACACTGTATAATCAGCAACAAGCACTAAATTCATTGTACCAATTGCTAATATATTGTCTTTTTCTCTTTACTTTTTTTTGAGTATAATTGACCTTGTCTTTATATGAGTTATTATGAACGGATTTATCATGAAACACCCTGTACAATAATCGCAAGAACAAGTAACACAAAAATAATATTATGTATGTATTATCGATTTGTCACTATTTTTGTTTTTAACAAACTCTTTTTTATGAAACCATTTGGAAGTTTGTTTTTGAAATATCACAATTTGCCATTTACATGTATTAACAAATTTATTTTACTTACCCCCATCTCTGCCGAATTTCCTTTTCTTCTTCGACGTTCCCGATGAATTTTGCTTTTGATTTGAAGTCTTTTCACATTTGTCTTTATCTTTGTCCTTGTTCTTCCACCGTATTAACATTGTTTTTTTATATATAAAAACCGACCACCTTACATAAACATTATTTTACAAAAATAGAGAAAAATATTTTTAGTTCTATATGTACTTATCAAAAGTAATTGCTATATCGCTAGGCTGTTGTGACTTTTCGTTGTGCTGTATTCTACTTGGTGATAATCTGAAAAATAAAAAAAAAAATAATGCAGTGTTTGAGAAATAGTCATTTGTTTACGAATTCGATTCACTCTATTATCGAATAATTAATTATGATGATAGAAGTGTCATTCGTTAGATAAAATATTTTAAAAAGAAGCCAAAATGGATAAGTAGGGGAGATCAGGGTAAAAATATTAGTTTGAGTAAAATTCAGACCACAAATGTCGCGAAATAGTAGCCATATTTTTTAAATATAAGTGAAACATTTCGCACCATTTAGTCGTATGGGAAGTGTTCTATGCACGTGTGGATAAGAATCTACTTGTTTAAAAATGACAAGCATTTTTTACCACGTACTTCATTTACTTTCTTTATGATCCACCCCGTATAAATAATGTATAATAAACATAATAATAACAATATAATCCATTATTCGTGTGAAAAGCAAACAAGTAGTATTTCTAAACCTATGAACAATTAACCTACTTAAATAAAATATACAATGCAAGGTGATATTTGCATATCACACCTCCCCTGTAAAGGAAAAAAAATAAAATTTTCCTAAAATTTATATATTTTTTTTTTTCTAAAGATTAAACGGTTTTACCCTATTTTGGTGTACTTATAACTTTTTATTTCCTTCGTCAATAACTACATTTACTACTTTATTTTCTAAAATTTTATATGAACCTTTGTAAATTGGTTCTAACTTAGAACTGGTCTCATTATAAAGCAAAACATTTTCACCTGTTTTATAATTTCTCTCCGTGGCTGATTAATCATACGTTCTTTTAATTTTTGATGAAACTGAATTTTTTCTTGCATCTTCTAATGATAATTTATTATAAATATATTTTAATTCAAACGGATAGTCGTCAAAATTACATAAAGGTTCAATTTTTCCAATTAAATTTGATGGTAAAACCAGTGACGCAGCCAGCTGTTTTTCATGGGAGGGGTTTTTGAGAACTATGGGGGGTTCCATCAAGAAAGTGAATAAAAACAAACAGCGATCAGCGCCAATACTATAGCGGAAATGGTGACGCGAGGACCCGGGGTTCTGACCCCCCAAACCACCCGTGGCTACGCCACTGGGTAAAATATATGTTTTTCCGAAAACTAGTTCGTAAAGCGTATAACCTGTGGTCGAATGAACCGACGAATAACACCAAAAATGTATCCAAGAACTCCAAGATTCTTTGTACTTAGAAATTTGAATGCTTAGATAAGCATTTAAGTGTTTATGAGTATTTTCCAAAGCTCCGATTGTTTCATGGTGATAAGTCGTTGAGTTTAGCTGATCAATTTTTAGTAACTTACAGGTTTCAATAAAGACATTCGCCATGAACTCATAATGTATAACTACCCTTTTCAAGATATCATAGCGTAAAATTACCTAATTTCAAAATCTCACACAAAATAAAGAATAAAAATTTTGTTTCAATTACATATATAATAAACTAAAAGCATAGCCAACCCTGACAAATGCAGTTTAACGTATCTAAGTCATAGATATGAGAGGAGGGAAGATAGGAACTGTCATTTCAGAAAACGTTTACACAAGGAGAACCTGCCGGGGAGGCGGAGAGTCTGCGCAGTTGAGTGTTTCCAGGATTGTACTCAGTTTTTTTATTAATTCAATAAAAATATACATATAATTAAATGTAAATTACGAATACTTTTTTAATAAGAGGAATACATAATTAAACAAGATTGTGTATTAGTTGAGATAATTTAAGTATAGCTAGTGCGGCGAGGGACGTCTAATTATTTGCGTTGGCGTTAAGGGGCAACTATACATAAATTTATATTATTCTCTTTAGATTATCTTCCGATGAGATGAGACAGGTTACAAAATTAGTTTTATATTAATAAATAACTAAATTTCATAAGGTTAGCTGAATACAACATAGGCATTCAAAAAAACATTCATCACATCATAGATAAACGAAATACAATGCTCACATATAGGTACGTAAAAATTGATTGAAATATTAAAAATAATTTATAAATTCATCTAACGAGTAGTCTTTAAATTTTTGTATTAATTTTTTTCTTTATGAGTGTTTATGTAACAAGTGATATACATACAGGGTGACACCGAAAACTTCCCAAATTAAATATCTTTCTTCCATTAAATAATGTGAAAAATCGCAAAAACCCGTCAATTTTATTTTCAAGGAGGACACCTCTACAATAAATACTTTTAACACTCATCGTGGCTCAACCTCCTAGGAGGGGTAGTTGTTACCCTTAAATCTTAAATGGGAAAAGGGGTCAAGAGGCACATCATTTTAAAGGGCGTTTAATTATCTTCCCATAATGGTACCCTAATTTATTAAACAAAAATTATTCTATCGAGTTAAATAACAGGAGGAATATCAAGTCTACATGTTTAACTTTTTATTTTTTTGGTTAGGTGACTTTTACAAAATAAATAACTTTTAATTTGCACAAGAAATTTTAAAAATAGAACACATAAGATCTACTTGTACACTATTTTAAAAACTTTTCAAAATGTTGTCCATTGTAGTGTAAACAGTAAAAAGTCTGTTTCCCAACTCCTCTCTAACATTTCGGAAAACTTTTACCGGAAATTGACCGGCATGCTTGTGTAATTCTCCTTTTAAGATCATCAATATCAGCAGGTTGTGTTTCATAAACAACGAATTTAAGGTGTCCCCAAAGAAAAAATTCTAAAGGAGTTAAATCAGGTGATCTTGGGGGCCATTCAATTGCTCCCCTTCTGTTAATCAAAGGGCCTGGAAATCTCTGTCAGACGAGAAGAAAAAATGAGGTGTAGCAGCGTCCTGCTGGAAATGTAACACATCTCCTGTAAAACTAAATTACCTTCTGCATCAGTTTGTTTCTAGCTCCTGAGTTTATAAGAGGATCAATAATCTCTGCAAGCATATTAAGGGACAGATCGCCTGGCAAGTTTCCTTCATTAAATAAAGAACCAATAATTGCGTATGCCCTTCTTGAATAACATACCTGGTGTTCATCGCTCCAGTACCAACATTTGTGTTTATTACATTGTCATTTAGAAAAAAATATAAAATAAAATGTCATCACTGAAACAGATATTCAGCAGAAGATTGGGGTTGGCGTTAACTTGATCAGACATGGTTTTACAAAACTCTATTCTTTTATCAAAATCATCTTCGTAGAGCTCTTGAAGTAACTGCATTTTACAGGAATGAAATTTATGCATTTTCAGTGCTCTTTCTTACAGTCTCGCGTGATATTCCCATCTGTTCTGCTACTATTTGTATGGAGCTAGTTGACACGGTAACAAATGTTCCCAAAACCTCAATTAGAGCTTTTTCATTTAGTACTCGTCGGTTCTTTTCCTATTTTTCACCGAACCAGTTTCCAAAAATTTTGCTACCAAATCGAGAGTATACATATGTCCTACATTACAATTAGGATGCCTTTCATTTAAATGCTGCCCTTCGTGCGCATTTTCCAACCTCTTCATAAAGGATAATTATTTCGATTCTTTCCTGTAGAGTAAACCATTTTTGCTATAGAATTACAACCATTGTTATCTCCTGATCACAAATGAATACCAGATGCTTACCGTTTCCACTATCGAGTCGAATATTGTAGACAACGAGTGAAATATTTATTAAATTATACCTATCAAAACTTAATCTTGGAAATAAAGGCAAATTTAAGTTTAGGCTGGGGACCAATGAAGAAAACAAAACTAGGTACTTATTTGAACTATTTCTTTTATTTGAAAATCTTGCAAGATGCTACAGAATACAAAAATATTTAACAACCATTGCAAGTATTTCAATAATAGTTTAGTATCAGGTGTAAAAGTTATTAAAAAATAAATGAGACACTTAATTCAAAGAAAATTACCTAACATTTGAAAATCCTTGAAAAAAAACATATATTGCAAGCAGTTATTTTAATAATAGTATTAGGGGTACAAATTATAAGAATTGAATAACATTTTGTTCAAATACAATATTCAGGACATTAACAAATACAAAGAATATATAACATTTAATTCAAAGAAAACTATTTATTATTAAAATATCTTTAGGATACTAGACAGGTACGGACTTTTTAACACAGAAGGTATATCTTACAATGAGTTTAACAAAGTTTAATAGGAACATGCAGATAACAAAGGGAGACCACTGTCAGAAAGCATCGATATGGTTCCAACTTATGTTCTTTTCACTACATACATCGACACAAATTTAGATGCTACGAGTGACAGGAGTCTCTGCCTGATATTCGCAGGTTCCTAATTCAAATTGTTTTATTGTTGAAAAATACATCGTATTGACAAAGACAGAAAACAAATATATAAATATTTAAAATTTAAAAAAATGTGTACACACTAATATAAATGTATATCGTACCCAGATACAAACAACCGATTGCAACAATATTCATTAAAATTTATAGGTACGACAAACTTTGACAGAGTTTGAGAATGTGATTTGTCTTAATGATATGAACATCAAATTACGTTCAGTCTAATAAAATTATACGATCATTAGATATTGAAAGATATATATAAGTGTTCTTCCAACTGGGTGTCAATAACAATATAGAATTACAAAATATATAAAAATATAATTATTTGTATGAATTGTATTCAATTTAAAACTGGCTGATTGGCTAAGGATCTATATATATATTTTTTATTATAATTTATAGATACTGTAAAATAGAAGGTTAGATTTTTTATTTAAAATTGTACAATATTTATTGTATTATCTAAATTGGGCTTTTTTTCTTTATTTTGGACATATCGAGAGCCACAATGCAGGACCTCGTAACTAACATTGCCACTGAAAATTATATTTTATGATAATCTCGTTTAAAAGATTTCACTC